GTTGGCATTTATTGAAGGTCCCTGGTCCACGAACTGTCCGCCTTGTGTCAAAAAGAGCGAGGGCCTTCTCAGTAGTGGCTCCCGTCCAGTGGAACCAGCTGCCCGAAGAGGTGCGTGCCTTGCGCGGGACCTCCCGAAGTTCCCCGTGGCATGCAATGCTGCTCTTTTTCGGGCGGCCTGTGGGTGACTGTGACCCACCGGGCAGCTGGTATTGCTTCAGCTGCGTCTCCACCGTCCACGCATCCCACCCTGCTTGATAGCAGATAGATTTTTAATTCCCTGATATTTTAAAAGTTTACTTAATGGTAGCTTTTGTATTATTTTCATCGGGTGTGTTTTACATGGCGTTAACCACTCCCAAGTCCCGTTCGGGGGAGACAGAGCGGGATATAGATTTGATAAATAAAAGAAATAAAACCACCAAGTGCCACAAGCTGCCGACTGTCGGCCCCTTTATTAGGAAGTGTGTACCAGTTGGCCCAGGCGGGTCCGATCTCATCAGTTCCAGGAGGCTAAGCAGGGTCGGGCCCGGTCGGTATTCGGATGGGAGACCACCAGGGAAGTCCAGAGCGCTGACAGCCTCCTTTCCCTCCCCCTCCCCACAACAGACACCCTGTGAGCAGTGTTCCCTCTAAGCTGAGTTCGTGTGAGCCAGCTCACAGTTTTTTAGCCTCCGGCTCACACATTTCTGTCTCGGCTCAGGAAGGGATGGCTCCAGAGCAAACTAACTTATGCAGTAGCCAAAGTGCCCACTCACAACTTTAATGCCGGTAGCTCACAAAGTTGAATTTCTGCTCACAGGACTCCACAGCTGAGAAGGGAGCCTTGCCTGTGAGGTAAAGTTGGCAACCCCCGATTTGGGCCCGTTTGGCTTCCCTGGCCTTCCTTTGCCATGTGTAACGTGCTGACAATAAAGGGGGTTGCAGTATGATAGTAACCAACACGACAGAACTACTGCAAAATGTGCAAAATGTACATACTCCAATTTGTATTTATAACATCAATAATAACAATACAATGTTTTCACAGAGAATAAGAACGTCTCAAGAATGATGAAGACGTCTCACAGATGAGCAGATGTGAGCAGATGGATGAACTCCCCCGGAGTTAACATTCGTTTCGGGCGTCTTTTTCACACATAAACAACTCCTAATAAAAAAATTCAGTTGTTACTTAAGGGGAAATCACCCAGCAATAAACAATTCCAACATACACTTGCCAATGCATACATACAGTTGAGTATCCTCACGGTTACAAATCCTCCAAACTGGACATTTCTTTGTTCTAAAATAAAACATAATGTTATATCACCTATAAATCTTTCTCATTGTTCTAACAATCAATGCTATTAATTGGTGTGCAGTTATGTTCTTACCCTATACATCTTGAAGTTATTCACAAAGTGCTCCTTTACATAGAATCTGTAACGGGCTAGTAAGCCTTAATCAATGTTAACAGACTTGTTACTTTATACTTCTCACTCCAAAGTCACGTGCTCCTATTAACCATCTGAGCCAACGTTTACAGGTTTCATCTCCAAAAGATACATCTTAAAAAGATACAGTTTACAGAGGACAACTGAAACAATCCAATGTTTATACAATGTCTCACAAACACACCCAGGGAAACTCATTACAAGAACTAAAATATAACATACTGTACGCTAACTCATGCAAGATCAGAGAATCTGCCTGCCTCCCACGCATGACTGACCATTCTGGCTTAGTATATGCCAGCTTTTGAGACTGGGTCCCATTACAGCCATGCTTGAATAAGAATTATTCGAAACGCGGCATCAGGCATCCGGATTACGCATCGGCTTTTTATGGCTCAGAAAATTTGATGACTTGCACTTCAATTTGGACTCTGATATTGCTTCTATGCTGGAGTAGACACATGGAAAGACCGTAGACTGTGCTTCTGTTATGCTTTATTATTGCACCTTGGCCAATTGATTTATATTATACTTGCTGTTATGCTTATTTGATCATTATATCTATATATCTAATAGCGAAAGGCGCCCCCTGCATGCGGATACCTAAATCCGCGCATTGGGGGCACCTGGGGGGAGGGAGATTTTTGTGCACACTTGGGGCAGTCCCCGGGTGTGCACAAAAATCTAAAAACCTGAAAAAAATATCGGGGGGATACTTAAATCCCCCCAAAAGTGACAGAGCATCCCCTGCGCATGCGCAGGGGACGCTCTGCGAACTCCCTCACCGCTGCCGCTTGGGGGGGAAGAGAGCAGGGAGGCGGCGGGGGGGAGGGAACTTACCTCCTCCTGCTGCTTCCTCCTCTGCCTCCTGTGTGGAAGTCCCTCCCCCCTGTGAGTATCGCGGGTCCCGCCCCTTGTACTTGCTTATTTGCTTGTGCATTCATTTTCTCTCAGTGGTGTTTTCTTTTTTGCTCCTTGTATTGTACACTGGCTCCCCCCCCTTTTTTTTTGGCTACTCATAACCTAGCCTGCCTCACAGGTTAGGTGTGAAGCTAAAAGAAAGAAGGAAAGAGGCCAGCCCTTCAGTTGCTAACATCTGGGAGAAAAAAATGTCCTGCCTTTCAACAGAAACTTACTGTGTGGAAATGGGTAGGTGAACCTTTTCATGTCAATGCAGTAACTTCCATCACTTGGTAAATAATGACCCATGAAACCTGTTAAAGGGACAGGATACTTTTTCCAGGGTGTTGGCAACCATAGCCCTAGGGTTGCCAGCTCTGGGCTGGGAAATTCTTGGGGATTTGGGGATGGAGCCTACGGAGGGTGAGGTTCAGGGAGGAAAAGGACCTCAGCAGGGTATCAAACCAAAGACTCTGCCCTCTGAAGCAGCCATTTTCTGCAGGGCGACTGATCTCTGTACTCTGGAGATCAGTTGTGATTCCCAGAGATCTCCAGGACCCACCTAGAGGTTGGCAACCTTATCCCTGTGCCATGGCAAGCCCTGAATGGGTCTCCAGAGGCTTCCTTTCTCCCTCCCAAGTTGCAAGAGTGGAGTTCCTGGCAGCCTAGACTATTTGCCACTCCATGGCGAGGCCGTGGGCTCTGTGTCTTATCGGTGCTTTCATCAGTGGCATGGGTGGGAGGCTGGGGTCATGGCACAGCCTGGATCCGCAAGGAGTAGGGCCTTGCAAGTGTGAAACAGCTCTCGTTCTGTGCAGCAGGCAGTGGCTCAGCTAGGGTTGCCAGGTACCCCCTAGCCACCGGCAGAGGGTGGAGGGATAGGGTTGCCAGATCCAGGTTGGGCAATTCCTGGAGATTTGGGGCTGGAGCCTGGGGACGGGAGGGGCCTCAGTGGAGTGCAATGCCACAGAGTCTCCACCCTCCAAAGCATCCATTTTATTCAGGGGATCTGATCTCTGTAGTCTGGAAGGATATGAGCTGTAATTCCGGGGGATCCCCAGGTCCTACATGGAGGCTGGCATTCCTGTGTAGCCCTCAAGTGGCATTTATTTTAGGGTCCCTGGGGAATAGAGTCCCTGGGGGATAGAGTTGCCAGATTCAAGTTGGGAAACTCCTGGAGATTTGGGGACGGAGCCTGGGGAAGACAGGAACCTCAATGGGGTACAATGCCATAGAGTCCACCCTCCAAAGCTTCCCTTTTCCCCGTCTGGAAATGAGCTGTAATTCCGGGGGCTCCCTAGGTCTCACCCAGAAGCACACGTCTCTCTTTCTCTCTCCTCATTATGCCAGGATTTCTTTTTTAAAAACCAGTGTTCTGGAAATTCCCGACATTCCTCGCCGTGGTAACCACGACAACCGACGCTGGAGGCGGGGCAGACCGGGCTTCAACGGCTCATTCCGATCTCCTTTTCCATCTCAATTGGAAGAGGGTGCTGCCAATCGGTGACAGGAGACCCGTGATTGGCCAGACCCTTTTCCGGATGAGTCCGAGTTTCAGGTTCCGGGTCGTTACTGACAGTGCGTGTTAGCAACCAAGGGAGGTGGGTAGGCCGACGTGGTTGTTGATACAGTAAGGGAGGAGAGACGGGAGAAAAGCTACGCACAAAGCCTGCAGCGATGGGGGCCAGCGGGGAAGATGCGGCTGACAGCGAGGAGCGCTTCGACGGAATGTTGCTTGCCATGGCCCAGCAGCACCAGGGCGGCGTGCGGGAGGTAAGATGGAGGCAGGAGGGGGACACCCCCCCCCCCCGTCTTCTTCCTTGTCCAGCCCGCCTCCTTTTCAGCTTATTCTAGAAGACCGTCTTCTTCCTTGTCCAGCCCGCCTCCTTTTCAGCTTATTCTAGAACCTACGGCTCTGGCTCAGCGACAGAGCACCTGCTTTGCAGGTGGAGTGTCCAAGGCATGATTCCTGGCATCGTCCGTTAAAAGGTGCTGTGAAGGATCTCATCCAGAGATCCTGGAGTGCCACTGACGCTCTGGATGAAACAAGAGTCCTAAGAACACAAGGGTCTCTTTTATTTGACCTGTGGTTTCTTTAGTCCGGCGTCTTGTCTCAGACAGCAGCCAATTAATTGCCTTGGAGGGCCGAACAAATGGGACATAGATGCTGAGGTCCTCTCCTGTTGCAGTGCTGCCTCGTGACCGTGGTATTCAGAGGTGTGCTGCCTCTGGATATGAAGGCTTCCTTCAGTCATCAGGGGTACCAACAATTGATGGATCTATTCTCCATGAATTAATCTAGAATCAAAGAAGGGGAAGGGGCCATATAGGTCATCTAGACCAGTGACTCAGTGCAGTATACTGTATCTGCCTAAAGCATCCTTGACAAATGATTCTCTTTTAAAGCTATCTGTGATTATGGTTATCACTAATCCTTGTTGAGTTCAATTACTTGCTGAGTAAAGAAGTATTTCCTTTTGTCTGTCCTGAGCCTTTTCCTCAGCAACTTCAGTGGGTACACATGACTTCTAGTGTTATGGGAGAGAGAGAAAAAGCTCTCTATTCACTTTTCCCATCCATGCATAATCTAATAAACAATGTCTCCCCTTAATGCCTCCCCCCCCCCCCCCAACCCCAAATCCCCCAATCCAGCTTTTCCTCATGGGAAAAGTGCTTCAACTCCCTAATCATTTTAGTTGCTCTCCTTTGTACTTATCTTAGCTTTTTTGGGATACAGTGATCAGAATAGCACGCAGTATGTCAACTGAGGCTGCAACATAGGTTTATACAAGGGCATTACAATATTGGCTGTTTTAGTTTCAGTTCCTTTCCTAATAGTTCCTAGCATGGAGTTTGCCTTTTTTTTTTACCACCACTGCGCTCTGAGTTGACAGGTTCATCAAGCTTTCTGCTACAACTCCAAGATATCTTTCAGTCTCAGTGTATATTTAAAATCAGGGGGGTTTTTTTGTTCCAGTATATATCATCTTACACATAACCATATTGAACTTCTTTTGCCATGTTGTTGCTTGCTCATCCGGTCTAGAAAGATCCTAATGTAACTTTTCATAATCTGCTATGGTTTTCACCATCCTGAATAATTTTGTTTCATCTGCAAACTTGCCTACTACATTGGTCAACCTCAATTCCAAATCACTTATAAAAAACTAAATAGCACTAGCCCTAAACTGATCTTTGTGGGACTCCCCACTGCTTATTTCCCTCCATTGTGAGAACTGCCATTTTATTCCTGCTCTCTGGTGCCTGTCATTTAACTGACTTCAAATCCATAAGACCTGTCCTATTATCCAATTATCACTATGCTTACTCAGGAGTCTTTGGTGAGGTACCTTTGTTAAAAGACTTTTGGGAGTCCAAGTATACGATGTCTCCCTTATCCACATCTTTGTTAACCTGTCCAAGCTACAAAAGGTTGGTGAGGCAGGAATTCCCTTTGTTTAGCGATACAAAGTGGAAATCCATCAATCCGCTAGTCAATTATGTACTGATGCAGCTGGAATAATACTGTGGTGTACTAGAAGTTCCATTGGTCATGCTTCATGTGCCATTCTCGATCTCTGGCATTGCTAGACAAAGTATCATGTGGAGAGGGTGCTGAGGGGGAGAACGCTCTCTGCCCAAGACCCTGGAGGGACACTGCCATGTAGAGAAGGCAGTACTGAGTTAGATGAACTAGTGGTCTACTTTTTTTTAAGGCAGCTTCATATATTTTCTCCATGTTATTGCAGGATCTCTTTTTTTCTACCTTTAGTAAAGGAGCAGTATATGTCTCTCCATCATCCAGTCCTGTTGTATAAGGGTTTGAAGCTGACTGAAGACTCAGAGCACTTTCCCATGTAGGCCATTTTGTCTACCTGGCTGGCAGTGGCAGTCTTGAACACAGAGGAGTTTTTCTCTAACTCTTGCAATCTCTAACTGGAGATGCAGAAATTGATCTTGGGACCATCTGCATGTGTGCATGCAAACAAGAACATAAGACCTCTGCTGGATCAGACTAGTGGCTCCATCTAGTCTAGCATCTGGTTTCATATTGCAGCCAACCAGTTGCTCTGAAGGGCCAACAGACAAGGCACAGAGGCCAAGGCTTTCACCTGGTGTTGCTTCCTAGCACTAGGTTTCAGAGGTTTACTGCCTCTGAATATGGCGGTTCCCTTTACTCACTATGTCTAGTAGCCATTGATGGACCCCTGCTGCATGAATCATGAAACCTTATGAATGACAATAATTGAGTTGTGGCCCACTGAAAGGGATCACCCTCCTCCTCAAAGGAAGGTATTTGACTGGGTTGTGTTCATGTGTGCTCAGTATAACAGTAGCTACAGTTTCTTGCCTTTTGGGTGCATTTGATCTTTGGCATGGGGATTGATATGGATCTGACCTCTGTTGATAGGGTGCCATGGTCAGATCACTTTGCCCTGAAGGCCCAGCTGAGCATTCCACCTCTGCCCTGTCTAAGTGGCAAGCGGATTTATGCTCGCCCATGGAGTCTAATGGATCCAGTTGGTTTCCAGAATGCTCTGCGGGATCCAATAGCTCCCGGCAGCTCATTAGATGAGCTGATAGAGGACTGGAATTACCCATCTTTCTGAAGCCATCGATGAGATCACTCCCTGATGACCTCTTTGCTCCTGCCCCAAATTAGCCCCATGGTATACCATGGAGCTTAGAGGAATGAAGCAGGAGCTTAGATGGCTAGAGCACATTTGGCAGCAATCTCATGATGAAAACTTATGAGTTGGTGGTGAAGGCTGCTAAAAGGGATTTTTTTACAGCCTCCATCGCATGCGCTAGCTCTCACCTGGCACAATTGTTTAAGACAATTCAATCTAACTTCTCCCACTGAGAGAACTCAAAATACTAGTAAATTGGCTATTAGCTGTGAGGCCTTTGTGAGCTTTTTTGCAGATAATGTCTTGTCACTCTGCCACGACCTGCCTGCCAATACTATGCGAACACTATGCGAACCAGAGGCACCTTGGCTGCCTTTGGATTCAGTGCTTGACAACTTCAGCCATCTCTCCCAGGCCGACGTTGACAGGATCCTGGGCGCTGTTAGGATGACCACTTGTTTCTTGGACCTGTGCCCATTGTGGCTGATGAAAGCCAGTGGTGATGGAGTACGGGGCCCCTGGGGGACATTATCAGTCTGTCCCTTAGTTCAGGGGTCTATCAGGGGGATAAGAACCTCCTGACGATCCCTTGCCCAAAGGATATTCTGGTGTAATATAGTGAAAAACAAGATGATGGAAACAGAGAGGAATGCTCTCTATTGCTCTCCTGCTGCTCCACTGAGCAACCACACAAGAGGCCATGAGGCATGGAGCCCTCTCTGTGGGCAAACTAGCAGCAAGTCCTCCCACAAAGCACCACAGGAGGCGATGCTCTGTGATCTATTTAAGACTTCCAACCCATGGCTCATGTAGCATGGTATCCTCTCTCTAGGAGATGCTGCAACAGCCACTCTTGAGTGGCATACAGAAATGTCCAAATGTATGGCATCTAAATACTGTCCACAGAAGTTCTGTGAAAAATTTTAAATGGAAACTTCATAAATGCAGTTCTGTGCAATGTAGTAATTACCTGTTTAAATAACAGGACAGGCCTAAGGTTTCTCATAGGACTATCACTAGGAATTTTTGGGGTGCTGATTTTATGACCTAGAGGGAAATTCCATTTGTTTCTTCAATAACTCACTGTGACTAGCTTTCCACTGCTTAAAGGAATCCTTTTTACCTTTTACAGCTTCCATTATTTTGTTTGTTAACCATGCAGGCTTTTTCCTATACCTGTTTGTGCCTTTCCTAACTTGTGAAATATATATATTTTTTTTGAGCTTCTAGGATCGTAGTTTTAAATAGTTTCCAAGCTTCCCCAATGGTTTTGACCCTTTCTACGTTTCCTTTCAGTTTCCTCCCCACATGTCCCCTCATATCAGAGAAATTACCCCTTTTAAAGTTAAAAGTGGTTGTGTGAGTCTTTTTGGCCAATTCCCTATTTATACAAATGTTGAACTCAACAACATAATGATCACTGTTCCCAAGTGGTGCAATCACTTTTACATCTCTCACCAGGTCTTGAGTGTTACTTAGGACCAAATCGAGGATCGCCTCTCCCCATTATTAGTTGAGATGGTTGCAGAAATATAACCACTGATTTGTTTCCTTCATTTATACCCCACCTTTCCCCACAGATGGGGACCCAAAGTGGCTTCATCATTTTCTTCATCTCCATTTTATCTTCACAAAAATCCTGTGATGTAGGTTAGGTTGAGTGTTTGTGACTGGCCCAAGGTCACCAGATAAGTTTCCATAGCAAATTGGGTTCCCAACCTGGATCTCCCATCGTAGTCTGATGCTCTAATTACTACACTACACTGTTAGAGATGTCCTTGTACCTGTAAGCAGTCATGAGTGGGATCATCCAATTTTCTTCTGGAACATTTGATTTAGAGATAAAGTTCTGGGGTAAAAGTATCATTACTCTAGTGAATATGACAGTTTTGATGTCAACACCCTGTTTGCCTTTTTGGACTTCTGATGCTTGCTTGTTTTTGGGATATGTCCCAAACTAAAGCTGCAAAGAAGAGAGGCTAGCAGAAGATTCTGATACAGATGAGTGGGTGGGAGTGTTTGTGAATTAGATTGGACTGTTGAAGAGGAATCAGTGCGTAGTTGGTGTAGCCTGAAACAAGTATCTCTGACCTCTTAAGAACACCTTGTCTCTCTTCCTTGCAGCTTGTGAACACCTTCTTCAGCTTCTTGAGACGCAAAACTGATTTCTTCATTGGAGGAGAAGATGGTGCTGCAGAGAAGGTATTGGATTTGTTAGCGCTTGTCCCGTGGAGAGACAATTATCTTGCTGCAGCAGGGGGAGCTGTTTCACACAGTGTCATTTTTATGTCTCACATATAGCCTTTAGTTTCCCTTGGCTGCTATAGAGGAATGGCATCATGTCCTGTTCCTGAAAGCACTAGAGACCAAACTTAGCAGTGTCTGGCCATGTTTATTTCTCTGACACCTAATTGCTTTGACCAAAGACTACTTTGGCTTGCCAGATGTACTGATTTCACTGAGACAGGCAAGTGGGGATCAATAGTTCTCAGCTTGCTTTGTTCGTTCACTCCTGGAAAAGCACTAAGTCCATTTCTACAGCTGTAACATTGTCCCTGAGTAACAAAATTTGGTCAGACACAAAAATTGTTGGTGGAGGCTGATGCCAATAGGAGGGCGTGTTCATGTTTAGACTTTTAAGTTCTTATTAATCTGACAGTGGATTAAGCAGGTCTAAGAAATCCACATTTTCTGTAAAATTTCAGGGACAGTCTTTCTGTATAATGGGTAACATCTTTCCTTTTCTCTTATTTTTTTACGTCTGAGGCAGCAAACACAGTCATGTTGCTTTTTCTGTGGTAGGCACACATTGCAAACATGTCACTGTCCAAAGGACGCATGAGATCACAGGTTACCAAATTCCAGGCTTCTGTTCATGGCTCTTAACTGAAGGTCACCCAGAAGTGAGAACCCTTGAAATACAGAAAGTTATGGGGACAAGTGACTGCATGAACTCTTTCAGCAAACATGCTAGAGTCCGAGCCCTCAGTCCCCTTGTTCTGAAATGCAGACAAAGGTAGCAATGTTCATTCTGGTTCGTGGAAAAGGGACACATTTATTCATTTATAGATATGTAAACCCTGTTTTTCTCTCCTCTGGGGACCCAAAGTAGCTTACAACATTGTCCTCCTGTTTTCCATTTTATCCTCCCAATGGCCACCCCGTGAGATAGACTAGGTTATAGAGTCATTGGCCCAGAGCCCCCTGGTGAGCTTCCATGGCAGAGTAGGGATTCGTACTTGATGTCCCAGATCTTAGTCCGACACTAACCCAAGGTTTTTTAAAAATATATATTTCCAGGGTTTGTGTGCCTCTGCATCCTGGTTGTGGGCAAAAAATTCACACAGTATAGACACTTGAATGTGCATCTTTGACTTTGCATAGTGGTTTTTGTGCTTATCCAATTATGGATAATATCTTGTGAGGTGCTGGAACTTGGAATCAAAATGTTCTTGCCAATTATGAATCCCAACCCCCCCACACACTCCTGAAATGCATCAAATCTTGGGGTAAAAGATGATATAGATTCCATGGCAGAATCTGCCTTCAGTAGCTGCTGCTGTTTAGGTGCCAGAGAAAGGTAAAGCCTAGAGCAGTGGTGGCGAACCATCGCCCCAGCCAGGCCCAGACCATCATTAAAGTGTTGAATTCTCTGCCAAATAATTTTAAGTAAGTGAAAGCATTTGGGATTGCTTTCCTTACTTTGTTTGGATTATCTTAAATTAATGTATGAGTTGTTTTTTCTAAAGTAAAACCTCAGCATTCAGGTTAAATTGCCGTGTTGGCACTTTGCGATAAATAAGTGGGTTTTGGGTCGCAGTTTGGGCACTCGGTCTCTAAAAGGTTCGCCATCACTGGCCTAGATGCTGTTTAGGTAGCAGAGGAAGGTACCTAGAGAATACTAGAATCTTAAAGAGAACTGTTATGGTTGAAAAGCTGTATACAAATATTACAAGTTCACTGGGTTGTTTCTGTCCCCAGTTAATCACAGAGACATTCAACCACCACAACAAGCTGGCTCAGAAAGCACATAAAGAGAAGGCAGCCCGCCAAGAGGCAGAGCGGAGAGAGAAAGCAGAGCAGGCTGCTAAACTCACCAAAGAAGCGAAGCGGGCAGAAAGTGATGCTGAGCCAAGGATTAAGGAGCTCACTGATGAGGAAGCAGAAAGGTTGCAACTGGAAATTGATCAGGTAGAAATCCAGTACCAGGGTGGTGTGTTTGTGCTCGTTGTAATGGGAAAATGAAGGTATTTGTTTGTGACTAATTTGGATTTATTCAGTAATGGGAGATATATGGTTTGATGAATCTGCTTCTCAAGAGTGTTTATGTTTATAAAATAGGTAGTTCCAGCTGCCACCAGGAATTTTATTTAAATTCCAAATCCCCTTTCTGCTTCTGGTTTTGGTATTGTGACCCAGGGTCTTGGCTTTCGAGGATCTATGTGGTCCTGAGGAATAATGGATCAGGCTTCTGGGATAAACTTAACTAAAAAGGATTTATTGAAAGAACAAATTAAGAAGTTGTTTAAATTGTAACTGTTTAGGAAATAGGTATTTGTAAGTATGTATGTCAACTGTATCACACAGGCTATTCTCTTTGTAACTCTCTCTTTAAGAACTGTAGTTTCACTTTACAGATGTATACTGCTTTCTCTCTCTCTGATACCACAGAGCACCGACTTCACATAGCACTGATTCCACACAGAACTTTCAGCTCGCTCGCTCTCTGACTCCACACAGCACTGTCAGAGCTCTCACTGACTGAAATCCAACTAGACTATATCAACAGCTTTTTTCTCCAACTGTCATTATTCCAACTGTCATTCTCCAATCTCTCACTGACACACCCACACAGATCCACACAGAATAACTCCTCCCACACTCTGCCATCCACCAATCACGGCACACTAGTTACTATCAAATATTTAAAGGGACACACACACACTCAAACAAGGAATCATCACACACACCCCTTCAGGAATGTCAGGGGAGGACCGCGTAGACAGCACCTGCAGGTGCAGAGATGAAGCTTGGGAATCAGAAGCAAAAAACAAAAGAGCTCAAGCGGGGTAAACAATAACAGTGCAAAGCTATGTACATCAGAGAACCACAGTTACAATTACATGATCAATAGTCAGGCTAAGGTCCGATCCTGACATGCTGCCCCCCCCCCCAAATGATCTAATCCCCTCCAGGCTTATCGGGGTATAAACAATGAAATTTGCAGACCAAACTAGTGGCATTTACATGATGTGAACCAACCCATTCATTTTCCTTGGGCCCAGAGTCCTTCCACTGGACCAAATACTGTAACCGGCCATGACGTATACGAGAGTCCAGGATGGCTTTAACCACATGGTGGAGTTCCCCATGTCTCCGAATCCGAAGAGGAGCAAGCGGCTTGTTCGTCCAAGGAGACGCTCGTGGGTCTTTCTTTAATAATCGAAAGTGAAATACAGGATGTAGAGAATGTAGAGATTTAGGTAAATCTAGCTCTTGACACTGAATGCCCAAGGCCGGGGCACTCGCCCAGAGCCTCTTTCTAGATCTTGTTGTATTTATTTGGACAATGGGCCTTATTCCTAGTAAATATATAATATGTGAATAAATACACCAGAGAAAAAAGAATGGTGCATATAGCAGGCACAGAAAACTGAAGTCAAGCTTATAGGCTTGACTGCTCTGATATTCTGCAGTAAGCTGTTTGTGCATAACAGGCCATTGTCTGAAAGTAGCTCATTTGCTTTGATACTATCTCTGTACTTTAATCTGACAAGCATGCTGGTACTTTCCAGATGCAGTATGTAAAAGTCTGAAAACTCCCCACCTTATGTGGCTGATTCATTCCTAGCTTCCTCCTTCCTTGAGTTTAACATGGCAAGAATGATGGCCCATAGGGTTGGACACTTTGCCAGACTTTACCCACGAGCTGAGGTCCAGAGAAGGCGCCTTTCCCAGACACTCACCCCAATCTTATCGGGTGGGCTCGGGAACGCATTTGATCCAACGTGCGCTCGCCACTTCTGGGTGGCGTTGGGCCCCACCCTGGCATGTCTGCATTACCTGGAAGCAGTGTTCCCTCTAAGCTGAGTTAATGTGAGCTAGCTCACAATTTTTTAGCCTCCGGCTCATACGTTTTTGTTTTAGCTCAGGAAGGATGGCTCCAGAGCCAACTAATTTATGCAGTGGCCAAATCGCTCACTCACAACTTTAATGCCAGTAGCTCACAAAGTAGAATTTTTGCTCACAAGACTCCACAGCTTAGCGGGAACATTGCTTGGAAGTGACACAAGCACATCACTGATGCACTTGTGTCACTTCTGGAAAACGCAGGCATGTGGGGGCAGTGTTCCCTCTAAGCTGAGTTAGTGTGAGCTAGCTCACAGTTTGTTATCCTCCGGCTCACACATTTTTGCCTTCGCTCAGAAAGGACAGCTCCAGAGCAAACTAATTCATGCAGTGTCCAAATCGCCCGCTCACAACTTTATTGCCAGTAGCTCACGAAGTAGAATTTTCGCTCACAAGACTCCACAGCTTAGAGGGAACATTGGTGGGGGGTGGGGCCTGACGCTATCCAGAAGTGGTGTGCACACGTTGCTTCCGGGTAATGCGGGCATGGTGGAGTGGGGCCTGATACCACCTGAACCAGTTCTGTTCGGGCAAGGGTTTGGGCTCGGGTTCAGTCTGGGGTTCAGTCCGTGGCTGCCTGGCTCGTAAGCTCTGTACCAAACCAGGATTTCCCAGTCTATGCCCATTCCTATTAGTAAATAACACTTAAACACATGTTTATGAATCTCAGCTAAAACTGTGAATGCGTGGGGGCGGGGGGTAATCTTTCTAAACAGAAAAAAGAGAAGAAAGAAAATGAGTCCAAAGATGTCCCTGAAAAATCATCTGTGCATTCAATGGAATCTTCAGAGTCCAACAAACTGGTAATGTGTTCTCCGAGGTTTGTGCAATTGTGAGTGGATGTTTTCTGTGTTTGATGGGTGTGTATGTGTGGGGACACACAGTAGACTAACTAGAACTCTTGCAATAAAGACATTAATACGGCTGGGCACCAGAGGACTTCCTGTGCTAAAGAGCCCATGTAACACTGTTCTGAGATCTGAGAACTCAGAAACTGGTATCTTCAGCAGAATTCTATATCAAGGACAAGGCGAATGCAGAAGCACCAAGTTTTCAAACAACACAGCAGGCAGGAGTCCCATGTGAATTTAGTAAAGTGTGTTTAAAAGATGGGTGTAGCAATGGTGTGGTACAACTAAGGTCTGGGAGAGCTGGATTCAAATCCCCACTCTGTGAACATACCTCAAAGGGTTGCTGCAAGCATTTTTTAAAAAGGAGGGGAAGACCTATGTAGCCATTTTGAGCCCCTTGAAAGAAAGGTGGGATAAAGATGTAATCATCATTATCATCGAAGGCTTGGAAGTATTTTTGATTATGCTTTGTGTCTGATTAGGAGGCAGATGAAGAGGAGGAAGATGAGAAGGACAAAGGCAAGCTGAAGCCAAACTCTGGCAATGGGGCAGACCTTCCAAACTACAGGTGGACACAAACCCTCTCTGAAGTGGATGTAAGTGGGGTCTTTGAGCAGAATGTGGCTTGACGTGGTTACTCCTGAGTAGGTTGTATCATTTGCTTCTTCAGTGATATTCTTATTCACAGAATGAGGAGAAACACATAAGGGAGCCAAATGATTCTAGGAGACCTTATTTTGATCAACCTCTCTTAGTATTGTCTAATGGCTACTTCAGAGCAAAGTAGTTTCACACAAGAAGCAGCTTGGAGACCAGAAATGGATCCACGTGCTATTCATACATCACTGTTACAAAAGGATACTCTTCATTGGTTTTCATGCTCTTTCTTGAGAATCTGGTGACGCTTGAAGTCTCTCTTAGTGATCCAGTGCTTATGTCCCTAACCCTGTGAACTCTGAACTGCCAGTTCCAGAGTCTACAACAAAGTGTATTTTAAATCTAAATGGTTACACTGTCCAAATTCTGCTGATAATGCTGGCTGCAGAATTTGTTGCATCTTCTAATATAATGTGTATTTAAGGTAGAGGTAGTTGGTGGCCCACAGAGATGCACTTTTGGGGCTGTGGGGTGGGCTGGTAAGGTGAATCTGTGGAAATTCTACAGCTGATCCATGTTCTGTGGCAGCCTTTTTTAAAATGATGATGCTTGTCCTTCTGGCTGTTTGAGCATTTAGAGCCGCTTGCAAGGTGTCTTCTGTCTCGGTCAGGCTGAGACCTGATTTTCTTTAACAATGTAATAGCAGAATGTCTGAGCCAGCACGGTGTAGTAGTTAAAGTGCCAGACGAGAATTTGGGAGATCCAGGTTCAAATCCCCACACTGCCATGGTAGCTTTCTGGGCGACACTGAGCCAGTCACAAACTCTCAGTCTGGCCTATCTCATAGGGTTGTTGTGAGGAGAAAATGGAGGAAGTGAGAAGGCTGTAAGCTACTTTGGATCCCTACTGAAGAGAAAAGTGGGGCATAAATGAAGTTAAATACAGATAATGTCCTCTTAGGCCACTTTCCAGATGCAGAAAGCTTGTCAAATTGTCATAACAATCTGCTAGATCACAATTTGTTCCATTTAAGCAAGAAAAATTAAACATATTCATAGCCCTTTTTAAGCATATTTACTCAGAGAAGTCCCAGTATAGTCAATAGAGCTTACTTGCAAGTAAGTGTACATAAGATTGCAGTCCACAGGAAAAACTCTGAAACCTCAGAATTAGTAGGTGGTAGGGATGGGGGGATGGCCAGGAGCCCTTCAATTTAAGGATACGTATGTTAAAGAACTTCTTTTCTTCAAAAAAAATTGGACTTTGTCTAACAAAGTTAGGAACTTGCTTTTTTAAAACCAAAACTTACAACATGGGGAATGGAGGTCAGTTTCACAGTGAAGTTATGAATGTGAAAAGCTTCCTGCCCCTTTCATTTGCAAATGTTCTTCCAAAGTGTGAGCAGTTGTTCAGGAGGGATGGCAGGCTACTGACCACATAATGGGCAAGAATTGCAAGGGAATATTTTATTGGTGGGGATAAATACTGTACATTGCGATCATGCTCTGTCAGCCCTGGTTTGATGCGCAACTATAGATGAATCTGTAATGTACACATTCTGCTGCAGCATATAATCTGTGGCCAGAAAAAAAATGTCTAAGGCTTTTCTGTGTAACTTCCTCCCCACTCCCCATCTTGCTTCTGTTATCTAGCTCGCCATCCCATTCAAAGTGAACTTCAGACTGAAGGGAAAGGATATGATAGTGGACATCCAGCGACGGCATCTGAAGGTGGGGCTGAAAGGCCACCCCGCCATGATTGATGGAGACTTGTACAATGAAGTGAAGGTGGAGGAGAGTTCTTGGCTGATTGAGGATGGGGAAATAGTCACTGTGCACTTGGAGAAGGTAATGGGAAGGACTTCAACATTTAAGTTCCTGATTTGATTCATTACAGTTGCAGGTTCTCAGATCTGCTGGCTCTCAGGGTTTGTTTCCTGTCTGATGGCCTGCAGTCCTAAGTAATTCTTTAGAACTGCATTGACTAAGCCATCCTAGGCAGAATTGGACCCATGTAAGTCTACTTAAGTCAATGGACATAGAAAAATGCAACTCTGCTCAGGAAGGCACTGTGAGTCTCCCAGTCAAAATGGATTACATGTTGTGACCATCCACCGCAATACGTTATCTTTGCTCTCTAGTAAACTTAAAAAAAAAGATTTCATTTATTATAATAAGGAAATTACAAGAAAATTAGAGATTAACAAACAACAAATACCATACTTACAAGCTGGAGAATAACAATCAAGAGTGAAAACTTTTATGGTATACTAAATGTTTAGAATGCAGTAATCAAAACAAATCTTAGACGGAGTAGCAATTCTAACAAAACAATAACCAACTATGGACAGCTATACCATTAAAGGAATGATACATGTTTTGGGTGAGTGAAATGAAAAACTGATTCATTATTTGCAATAAAATCAACAACATAGTACCACATTGCAACAAAGTCAGATACATAATGGTCAGAATCTGCTTGTGTTTGTTGGTCCAATATTGGTCCAATATATCCCAATTTTTTATACCATTTTATACCATTCTATGCTTGTGTTTGTTGGTCCAATATAGGTCCAATATATCCCAATTTTTTTATACCATTCTAATATGGATGGTGGTTATTGCTCTTCCATAATGCGATGACCAGGCAAGCTGCCGCACATAAAAATGCTATCAAATTACATCTTAGTGTTAGTATCTCAGGATTGTTCCGTAGGTTCAACATTGTCTCTGCCTTCAAAGGAACCGTCTACTTTGTATTACTGTATATTTGGGTTTGCACAAGATGCCAGAAAGCTTGGATATATTTACATGATCACCATGTATGAAGATAAGAACCTGGTTCTCCATACCATTTCCAACACACTGGAAGATAAGTAGGGTTCATATGGTGAACTTGTGATGGAGTTACCATCTTGCAAGTGTTTTAAATGCTTGGGTTTTGATATTGATGGATTTGGACATAATAGTATTGGATCACCAGATTTGTAGCCGTTGGTCCGAGGTAAAGGTAATATTTAGATCTTTATGCCAAGAATGTACATATGAGGGTAGTTTACCATTGGATATGGTTAATAAGATTTTGTAAAGGTATAAAAGGATTGCATTGTCTTTAGAAGGGTTGATTTTCCATAATTTTTCAAAATCTTTTCTTGATTTCTGATTGGCCAGTTAAACGTCTAATTTGAAAATATTGAAACCATGGAATCTGGATATTCATTTTGGATTCTAAATCGGTCTTCTTGAGAATAATTCCTCCTTATGTTATATCAGTTAATTTTGTAAAAGAGGTTTCTCTCCATTGTCAGAAGGAATGTGGTTGCAACTCTGGTTCAAACCACGACTAGCCCAAGAATGAGGAGAGCGGAGATATTGGGGGAGCAAGTTTAAAGAGCAATTCATCCCATATTTATAAAGTATGCTGTAAAAACATATATATATTTTAAACATATTATTGACAATAGAAATTGGCTTATCCTTATGACTATTTCAAACTGATTTCACATAAGGATTTAGGATTTAGAAAACTTTATTCTATATATATACCCAATCCAAGACCGGTTCTGGATGTAAAATCTTTAACAAAGTAGCTAGTTGTGACGCATCCCAATACAATTTGAGATCTGGGTAACCAAGACCTCCTTGCTTAGGTGATTTACATAGTGTATTGAAATTGATCCTAGGCCTTTTGGAACTCCAGATAAAATCATTGAGTGTTTTTACACTTTTTAAAGGAAAGTTTTGTGGAATGTAATTGGCAAGGTTCTGAAATAAAAAATAAATTTGGGTAAGAGAAATGATTTAACCAAACTGAGTTTTTCCATCCATGAAAGATGGAGACTGGTTCATTGTTTAAGAAATGATGAAGTTGAATTATGGAGTTCAAGAAATTATGCTTAAATAGATTGCTTAAATCTACTGGTATATTGACTCCCAAATGTTGTCAAGTTTTGGAAATCCATTTAAACTCATAAACGGATTTGATGTGGGTAGAATTTGAGTGAGAAAGCTGTATAGGAAATTGGAGTGGTTGGAATATAGTCCCGAGATCTCAAAAAATCATCTAAGTTCCAACTTGACAGCCTATAGGGATCTTAAAGGCTCTGAAAGGTACAAAACTACATCATCTGCAAAGAGACAATTTCATCTCTCTATCAATGATTAAAATATTGTGAATATTGGAATTTTGATGGATTGCCATAGCTAAGGGCTCAATAGAGAGAGCAAAGAGCAGAGATGAAAGAGGGTACCCCCCATCTTGTCCTTCTTGATACCATGAAGTCATTTGATATGTTGTTTATTCGAATTTGAGCTTTGGGAGAGGTATATAATACGTGGATAGAACATAAGAAGTGATCTCCAAACCCCATGTGTTGCAGGATTGAGAATACAAATTTAGGTTCTAGCTTATCTAAAGCTTTTTTGATATCAATGGACAGTAGTAGAGTTTCTATTTGTTTGGTTTTGCAGAAATTTGATAATATTAAGAGTTTTGCGAATATTATCCACAATGATGCGATGTGGCATGAACCCAGGCTGATTCTGATGTATATAGTGCATAATGAATTTATTTAATCTGGCGGTGATGGTTGCAGTTAATATTTTTGCGTTTTGACTCAAGAGTGAAATCGGCCTGTAAGATCCTGGATTTGTGAGATCCTTCCCAGGTTTGGGGATTGCTGCTGTTCTATAATGTGGCCATATGTGTAGCATTGAACCAATAGATAGTATATCGTTACACACATTTGATAAGGGATTTTCTAAAATATTAGAATTTTTTAAATAACATTCAGTAGAAAAACCATCCCTACCTGGCAATTTTTTCCCCCAGGGATTTAATAGTGTCAAGGATCTCTTAAGTTTTAAATGGAGCTTCCATTAATTCTTAATGTTCCGGGAGTATTTTGTTTAGATAAGGTTTTGATGTCAAGTTTGACTATCCACTTTGAATCTAGGTTGCTATATGTATACAGGAAAGTGTAATAGTCACTAAATACATTTAAAATTTGAGATGATTTAGTTAAAATATTTTTCTGGTAAACTTGAAAATGTTGAATCCTTAAAAGTATGTCCCCTGTTCAGGGACATTGCTTTAGTTGTGAAATACATAGTACCCACTGTGTCTTTCTTTTTAAGATCAACAAGATGGAATGGTGGAACAAGTTAGTCCAAACAGACCCAGAGCTCAACACCAAGAAGATCAACCCAGAGAATTCCAAAGTAAGCATTTTTCCTATCAACTTTGATTCAAAGAACAGGTGAGAACTGGCTGTTCAGTTCCTCTAATCCTTTCTAATGATTTGGAGTCAAATTTCTGAGGGCCTGTATGCAAAAGGTACAGATGTCTTTGGAGATGTCTTAATGGGGGAGGGGGGCATAGAAAGCATGAAGCTTTTGGATACAACACTGTTCTCAAAGGAAGCTTCTCCCAGGAGGACCCCCTAGATTTACACCTTCTAATGGTACTACTTTGAATTATGAAGCTGTCAGACCTGGATGGCGAGACTCGCAGCATGGTGGAGAAAATGATGTATGATCAACGGCAGAAATCAATGGGGCTTCCCACATCTGATGAGCAGAAGAAGCAGGACATATTGAAAAAGTGAGTAGGACCCATTCACACCTCTTGAAGCATGCGAAGGAAATGATGGTTGGGGTCAGAATGGTGGTGGGGGGCACTTTGTTCTTCCGCTGAGCCTATGCCCATATCTAGTTGGCTGGCGAACCCAAGAAACCATTATTGTAGAAATGGCTAATCTGTGTGATTCAACTCAGTTCCTAAGTCTACAGCACAACAGGGGACTCATGGGCCTGGCAGTGCCATCTCTGCTTGAACCATGACGTGATGTGTTTGACTGTAATCTCCACGTGCCTGCAAGCTAAATAACCTTCCCTTCCCCTGTACCAGGATTGCTGGACAGTCATGATTTTTATGGCTTTATTGCCCTTTTTGGCAAAAGTATGCCTAGAAGCTTCTGTGAGAAATCCTCTGCTAAGGCTACACAGGGTGACAGCTCTTGGGTTATGGGGTTGGAAAAGAGGGAAATGGGAGGGCAGCCAGCTTCTCTTTAGCCATCCTTAAACTCTTGCAGGGAGATTTGAAGGGAGGAATTGCTCATTTGGAAACAGCCTTCTCTTGTAAATGTGGTTACTTTTAATACAGTTTACAACACTGTTCTAATGCTGGCAAGCAACATGGGACACCATGTCTTCTGTTTATCTCTAGTGACTCATTTGAACCAAAGATACCTAGTGGAAATTAGTAGCAAATTGCTGATAGGTTGAGATCTAGCACTATACTGGGATATTCACCAACTCGTAAGCAGGGTCTCTTCCTCCCAAGATTCCCACCACAGATTCTTTTTTGCTTTCCCTTTGAGGGGAAATGGCAAGGAGGCTAGTTTTAGTCAATAATGTTAGCTCTAAAAACCTTATTTCTTTGGCTACCCCCATCCATCTCAGACACAATTCTTCAGATTCCAGAAGACCCCTAATTATCTAATTAACTATTTAGTAAGGGTAACCTCTTTTACTCAGTGTCACATGTTAAATATACTTCTTTTTGTTTTGCTGCTCTTAGCATTGTACAGCATAATAGGAATATCAAAATAAATTTACCACAATATAGTAAAAAGAATTTAAACCACTTCTTGCAGCTGTACAAGAACCTGCTTGTAGGTATGGTGAGAATGGATTTATATTTTGTGCTTACCCAATCCACAATGCAATTCTGTGCAGAGTTACTCTGCTCTAAGGCCACTGACTGATGGAGCAACTCAGAATAGTATTGTACTGTCAAAATGACAACTGTCTGTAGTACTGACTGGCCAGTGAAGTGTCAGCTTGTGATTCAGTGATCTTGGGACACATTCTCTGTCTCTCTCTTAACACGGTTCAGTAGCATCTGTATTTTGTGAAGCTACTTTAGTGTATGTATTTAAATAGCCACCAAGCAATGCTCCAGGCCTCGTTCTATAAAATAGCAAATTTAGGGTTGGATGAGCCAGCTTTTTCACTCAGCCAGTTTCCCTCTTACTACATCCCCAGTCCCACATTGTTTTCACCCATGCAGGTCTTCAATCCTTAGCATAGCCTTTTTTTTGGGGGGGGGGGGTATAGAAATGCATTTTTTTCTTTGGAGGTTTGAAAACAGCAGAACCCTTCACTCTGAGTTTTAAAAGCTTTTTTTCCATCTCTCTGGGCAGAGAACAGGCAGGAAGGGGGGGAGGTCAGTTCAATTGTTTTCCATACTTACTTCAGCCCACCTTCATACAAATGCTCATAAGTCTAGCTAGAGACAGTTAGATGGGCCAGCGCTCCCCCCTCCCAGCAGGGAACAGAGACTTGGAGGAATTAAGACTAGAAAGACTTCAGGAAGACGTTTCTGGAGATGACAGGAAAAGCTTCCTTGACTTGGCCTGATTTGGTCAGTGGGTGGGGAAAACAGAGAAGATAAAACTCCTGGAAGCAAGAAGGAAGCTCTTTTTTCTGCTGAGTCCATCAGAGCAGACAGAACTCTTAGCTGAGATCTGGAGGAGGAGGTCATTAGCCATGTGTTTGCCTGGACAGCTGAAGGAAGTTTCAAGGTATAGGTCATTCTGTAGAGATCTGTAACTTCCTAAACTAAGGAGCCTGTCCTATATTTTCACATTTGATAGGGCACGAATAGAGAGAGGAATTATGTTTCACCCATTTCTTTTGAATCCCTTGCTCAGTCTGGTGCTGTGCTAAAAGTATGCTTGTGAACATTTTCTTTTCAATAAATACTTTATAACCTTGGATGCTGGTAGTGGTTCTCTGTACCACATAGACCTCCGCTGTCTTGGACACGCTATTTTAAAAGGAGCGCTGGGGGAAGGAAGTGGCTATTCCTCCAGGGGCATACAAGGCAGTAAACGGTCCCTGCGGTGACCAGGCGCTGGGCAGCAGGAGACACAGAGGCAAGGCCTCAGAACTTGGAAGGGAAGCTGGGAGTCCTGTACCTCCCAGTGGGTAATTCCAGACAAAGGTCAGGTGATGTCAGTGGTTACATGAGAGAGAAAGAAAAGCCTCTCCAGGTATTGGGAAAACTTTGGAGGGCAGGGTGGAACAGGACCTGCAGGCCAGAGCAGGCCCATTCCGCCACAGGAGGGTTTACTGGGAACCCCTCCTCCCTTTTCACCAGCAGAACTGGTTGGATCCAAAGCATAGTGACACAGAATTGTCAAGAAGAATTCACGTTCATTGCATAGAACTGTGCTGTTAATCATGCAGCCATGTTTAATCTGTGCTACAATATTTGACAATTCCATGTTGCTGCTTTATGAAATGGCAGCAGGCTTAGGCTGGAGCAACTCTGCATAGGATTGTACCATAACATTAATGAATAGTATTCCAGATGTGATCTTGGTGGCAAGGGAGACCAAAATGAAAGTGAATCTGCCAGGAAGTACTGAGGACTAACTTTGTTTAGCAGTTACCTCCAAAACCCTTCTTTGGTTGGCATCCCTTTTACTGCACACAAAAAATGATGTCTGCATAGATTGGAGTTCTGATCCTATGAGCCAGGTGCTACGTGTGTGACCAGGAGCTAATAGTTCCCAAGGGCATATTTGATTAATTTGTCATTGCTCATTTACAACCATAGCAGGTAGTAACTGGTGACTTTTATACTGATATTACTTAGGAGAGAATTGATTGGCAACATAAACTGTGATCTCTGCACAGCCACACTGATAGTAAAGGAGATCTGTGCTTACAAAACACACAAAGTTGCCTTATACGAAGTCAGATCATTGTTCGGTCTCAAGCAAGGTCATCCTGAAAAAAGCTGCTTAAAATGGTTGGGGGCACATGTCTGTCCCACTAACTAATTAGTCTTCCTAAATGTGTCCTCTGTGTTGGTAGTGCTCTTTGCCAGTTTTGAAGTCTTTGACTTCCAGTTGTGTAGTTGACATTTTTTAAAAGCCTATCCTTCCTTCAGGGTGCTCAAGATACTTCACATTGTCTTCTCCCACCCCTGTTTTAGCCTCAGACCCCTGTGAGGTAGGTTAGAGTGAAAGAGAATTACTAGCCCAAGGTTGGTGGCAGACTGGGGATTCGAACCCAGTCGTAGTGGGACATTCTTACTACAAAACTGCACCTGGGCTGTACAAGGTTTCTGCCTACCATTGCCCTGCTGACTTGCTTCCTAGCTCTTAGCTAAAGGTATGCTTCTCTTGTTCTTCCAGATTCATGGAACAGCATCCGGAAATGGATTTCTCAAAAGCAAAATTCAACTGAGATGATTGCCCCCTTTCACTCCTTACTCCCCCTCCCCCATTTTTAAAAGAAAAAAGAAAAAAAATACATATAGCCTGATCAGGACGGGAGGTACAATTTTAGTCACTGTGAACACTCTCATAGTTCCCAAGTCAACTTTCAGTGCAAAACAAAAACCTGTACTGATTTATCAGCACATGTCAGGTTTTTCAGCAGCAGGATCAGTTGGCCATCTGAACCATGACTTATTTTTGCTGAGGGAAGACCACTTTGAGGTTCTAGCAAAAAGAGGATTCATGATGGAAATTTAGGCCTCACTTCTGTAAGTTTCCTAGAGTTCTCAGGCAGTCATTTAAAGACTTCAGGGAGTATCTTAATCACCCTGTACTCTCTCCACCCTGCCCTTGAACTAAATAGAAGGGCCTCCTTTGGACACCCCATTGTCAGTCCTTCCGGTATTCCAGTTCTGAACCAAACAGCCCTTCCAGTATGCTAACTTAGTACCGCATCACTGAGAACAGTTTCTGGTGGACATACTGATAAATGAACCTGTAAGTTGCCCCTGCTTCTGCCTGAGATGTGTGCACTGTAACATCTAAAGGAAAACTTGGGCAGGAGTGATGTGCTTGCATTCCTCCTGTGCAAATTCCCATTTGGGCATTACAGCGAAAGCAGGAGGATTTACATATCTGCTTGTATGCTTAACTCCCAAAGCCCTCCTCTTGTTCCAAGCACATTTTTTGGATGCAAAAAGAATTCCTTGCAAATGTGTCAAGTTTAAGATAGAGTAAACTATTTTGGCCAGAGAGGAAGCCACATCAGAATCTGGTATAGTGAGACTTGCACAAGTTCGGTCTCTAAGCTGTTCTGCCCAGGCCCTCTGCTGTCCAAATGATGCATGTCTGCTGCAGATTCTTCTAGAGATTTTGGCTGTAGTGTGAGCTTAAATGACTTTCTTACCTTCCATTACAATACTGGTGTTGGTGTGGCACTGCAAAACTCATATTTAGGACTAGGATGAGGTCTGTTAAATATGATCAGTTTGGGGAGGTTGACTGTACCCTTGTGGGAATTAAGATATGTTTGATCTCTGCTCAGTGCGTTGATGTCTTGCTTTAAAGTGTCCCACTAATTAATTTGGCATTTAGCATCAATAGCCCATTGTAGGACCTACTAGAGACCACAGTATCATGAATTAGTGGAATCAACAATGATATTTTTGATACATCACCAGAAGCAATGAATTATTGAGAGACAGTCTATGTATACATCTCTGTTCAGAAGAAGATCATTTGTCGAAACGGCAGGACATTCCGGAGACCACCATCTACATTCACCAATATATAATTTGTTCACCTTTTCATCATTGTATAATTTTGACTCTTTAATATATTATTAGCGTTACTTTCTCACATTTTTTTTCATTTTCCGCTTGCTTTAAAGTGGGACAGGTTTCACCCTATGTCCGTGGGAGTGTACTAGATGGCAGGCAGATCTCTGGCTTGCTGGAGAACCAGCCATTCACTTTCCTAGAACAGTTCCACAAACATTTTCCTTTGCACATTGGCCAAACAAGAGGCTTTGTGTATTCTCTCCTTTTGGGGATTGTTGCTGAGAAGACAGCTTGTATTCTGCATGTACAATAAAAGCACCTGTTTTCATGGGGTATTGCTGTGTATATGTGTCCTCATTATCCATGTGCCAAATACTTCTGAGGTGGCTTCTAGGTTGACTAAATAAACTCTATCTTTACTGTTCTGTTTTTAAAGTGTGGTTGCTTTTTTACTGCTGTGATAAAACAGCAGTCACAAGAATAGCATAAAGAGTCTCTTCCAGTCCTATAGTCCTCCTGTTTGCAGTTGTAGCAACATCTGTTTTGCAAATCTGGTAATCCTGGCTGCTGTTCTGTGACTCACAGCAGATGGTGAAGTGTTTCAAGGCATCTGAATTTTCTCAGTGGTTCACTTCCAAACTGTTTTTATTAGAAAGCCACAGCTCACCCTCTTTCCTAAAGAGCAGGGCATAATCCCCATGACATAAGAGAGAAAGGGGTAAAGGAGATCTAGCAGTTCCTGAGCTGCCATGGCAGGTATTGCTGTATTTGTATTTAAACTTAAATCTGTTAATTTATACTGAACCTGGGCATTTGCAAATGGTTTATGATGATACCAGAAGCTTTCAGATTTCCCTGCTACAAAGGAAACTCACTCTGTTGGGCAGCTGAGGGAAGGGGGAACATAAGGTTTTACTTAAATGAGGCAAGCTGCTGGAATTCTTACTACTAACCATTCTAGCAGCCTCAATAGCCCTGACCAGCTTGATCTCATCAGAGTTTGGTTGCTAAGCAGCATTTGCCATAGTTAGTACTTGGATGAGAGACCACTAAGGAAGATTGTGGTTGCTGCGCAGCAAAAGGCAATGACAAACCAGCTCTGCTCCTCTCTTACCTTGAAAGCGCCATGGTCCTGGGATTGCCATCAGTCAGTTGCACACAAGTATTACGACAAGCAGTTCTACCCACAGCCATTTTTTACTAAAATTCTTTAAATTTAGCCACATCCAGGGGTCGGTTGGCCCCGGAGTGCACCAGAGCGGTGCTCCAGGAGTGAAGAGTGAGGGGGGGGGGGACATGACCAAGCCCCACCCCCTGCTCCCATCAGCCATTAGTCGGGCCACAAGGAGGCAGAAGGAAGGTAAGTTGCGGCCCGCAGAAAAGCCTGCCGAGGCTGGCCGCTCCCCCCTTCCCCCTGCCTCACTGCATTTCTTGGGCCTGGCGCCGGAGCGCAGAGCCCGAGAAAGGCCTTCAGAGGCCGTCCCCCCTCCGCGTTTCTCGGGCCCGGCCTTGTCTCCCCAAGCCCCGGGAGCCGAGTGCAATGCTGAAAGGTGCTTGGATCTATGAGATCCAAGCCCCTTTCAGCCTTGTCTCTCCCCCCTGCCCATCCAAGCCCCGGGAGCCGAGTGCAACGCTGAAAGGAGCTTGGATCTATGAATGACAAGAAAAAACAGATTAAAAAGAAGTTCCAGGTGGTGTCCTTAAAATTTTCATCCCAGTTCTGGACTGCCTGGCCACTTTCTGGACAGGGGGAGAGGAAACACAAGATCAGAATTAAGGAGAGAGGGAGAAGGTGCCAGCCACGATAGAAAACCATTGCCGTCCTCAACCAAAAGCCTTGTTTCTGTTTATGCCTTGTTTCTGTTCCCTCAGTTGGGGAGAACAAACTGAAAATGTGCCCGTCATAGAATTCAGCTGAGTGGGACAATGAGACACTCTGCTTTGACTCAGAGGCACTTCCACTCTTACATTTTGCCCCGTGGCTGAGCTTGGAGATCTCTGGCTGAAGTTAAGTAAAAGTGCTGATTTAAGGAATGCACAACGTGGGCACTGGGCAGTAGCCCAGTCCCTCTCTTGTTTGAGACAGATGCTGAAGTGCTGGTTTGAGCTGAGGGCTCCTACTGTCTTAGGGTAAAGGGCCTGAAATGTCTCATTCCTAAGATGCTTTGGGGACTGGGCCGGCCCATCCCAATTGGCAGCACAGGTGCATATTTGGACTGGCAGAATTCCAGGGGCTCTAAGCTCACCCAGAAAACGCGGTAGAGAAAACTCTATTCCCTGTTTGTGCCTGCTCTTGGGTCAGGTGATCTGAAGTGTGGTTGAACAGGTCCCAGTAACTGTTCCTTTCCCTGCCATTGAGTTGCAGCAATTAGCAAAGCTGAACAGGAATCTTGTTGCATCTTCAGGATTAATAAGATCTTATTCCAGTATAAGCTTTGATGAACTAGAGTCCCCTGCATCTTGTGCAAACAAGGTAGTGGGTGATAATGTTGAACTCAGTGGTGCGAAAAGTTTCATCTGCTCTTTGCTGCCTAACAAAACTGTAAGAAAGAGAGGTGCAGGCCAAGCCTTTGTTTCTGGCAAACCCCAGTGCAGTGGTATTGTGGGGAGCCACATCCATAATTACCATCAACCAAAAGAGCCACATTTACTTCCATCCCTGGCACATGAGGCCTGCACCTCAGAGATGCTCACAGCTTTCCTGTTCTTCAGGCAGAGGCAGTTTCAAGATCAGAATCACTTGCCAACCATAAGCCCCACCAGGGAAGAGCACTGCCCACTTTCCTGGAACACGGAGTAGGTGCCAGGGGAGCAGTGCTCAGAAGAGCCACAGGGGGCTTCTGGGCCACTGAGTCTCATTGTCCTAGAGCAGGGGTCCTCAAACTACGGCCCGGGGGCCACATGTGGCCCGCCGAAAACATTTATCCGGCCCGCCAGGTGTTTTTGCCACTGTCCTGTCCATATGCTGCCCAGCACAAGGGGCCCTGGTGAGCGGTAGGGGTGCCATTCCCCTCGGCGCGGCGCCGCTTTCACTTTCCAGGGCCGCAAAAGTTTGCTTTTCTCTCCAACCGCTGGGGACCTGCCAGAGGGCCAGGAGCACCGACAGCCAGGCCGGCACGCCCACTCTCCCTTCCCAGGGCTTGGGCGAAGGTTCCCAGTGCCAGGCGAAGGTTCTGCCCCTTTCCCCTGAAACTGTCCACGGGCTAAGGAAGAGAGACGCGAGGCTCTGCCGGCGGCAACTCCAGGCTGCACCGCTGGTTTGGGAGAAAGTCCATCACTTCCCCTGAATACAGGCCTGGGATCGGGGTGTCAGACCACCACCACCACCTGCACTTCCATGCCACATCCACACAATCACGCCCTGCCTGGAATAAATCCCCCGACGTGGGTTTCCTGCACGCAGACCGGCCATGTGTGCATTGCAACCATGTGTGAATGAGATTCGGGAGGGTAACAAATCCCGGCAGAGTTCGGCACCTCCTAATCTGGCCTCCCTCCAGAATAACCTCCTTTGTCTTCTGTTGCCGTCTGCCGCACAGCCATGCTTTTGGGGCAAAAGCCCTGGTCAGCAACTAGGAGGCCACTGTGGGAAGGGAGCGCCAGCCGCAGAGGGCCAGCGTCTCACCCTCTCTCCGCCGCCCCCCACGCCATGAGACCTGCTGGTAAGACTCGTCGCCCGCAGATTCTTCTTCTTCCCTCTTTCCACTTCCAGCTTAGCTGCGGGGCTTGGGGGCCAGCAGCGCTGATCAGGGGCCCAGCCTTAGCCCGGGCACCTCCAACTGGCAAACCCTGCTGTAAAGTGGGAAGGGGGGAAGGTCCCCACTAGTTGCCCCACTGCCAGATCTCGGTGCCCTCAATCCAAGCC